GAGAGCGGCCTCACAGTCACAGGCAGTGGTTGTCGTGGGGGATTTTAACTTCCCTGATGTTTGCTGGAAGGACCACTCGGCAACCCAGCCACAGTCCAGGAGGTTCCTCCAGTGCATGGATGATAACTTCCTCATGCAAATGGTGGATGAGCCAACCAGGAGAGGAGCGCTGCTGGATCTCATCCTCACTAACAAGGAGGGTCTGGTTGAAGCAGTAAAGGTTGAGGGCTGCCTTGGTTGCAGCGACCACGAGATGGTGGAATTCAGGATCTTGTGTGGTAGGACTAGGAGAATAGCAAGTAGAATTGCAACCCTGGACTTTGCAGGGCAAACTCTGGCCTTTTCAAGCAATTGCTAGGGGAAATCCCATGGGCAAGGCTGTTTGAAGGTAAAGGGGCCCAAGATAGTTGGTTGGCATTCAAGGATTGCTTTTTCCAAGCTCAAGATCGGAGCATCCTGACACGTAGGAAGTCAAGGAAGAGGGCCAGAAGACCTGCGTGGCTAAATAGGGAATTGCTGGGTATGCTCAAGTGGAAGAGGAGAGATTACAGGTCATGGAAGGAGGGGCTGGCCACTTGGGAGGAATATAAGGCTGCTGCTAGAGGATGTAGGAAGGCAGCTAGGATGATTAAGGCCTCCTTAGAATTAAATCTGGCAAGAGGGGTCAAGGACAGCAAAAAGAGCTTTTTCAACTACATGGCAGATAAAAATAACACCAGAGGCAATGTAGGCCCACTGATGAACAGGATGGGTGCCCTGGTGACAGAAGATACAGTGATGGCAGAGTTACTGAATGCCTTCTTTGTCTCTGTCTACTCTGCCGGAGGCAGTCCTGAAGACTCCTTTACCCCGAGACCTCAGATGAAGTCACGTCAATGGAGCGGTTTGCCTTAGTCGATGAGGAATGGGTTAGAGACCAGTTGAGCAATCTGGACATCCATAAATCCACGGGTCCAGATGGGATGCACCCGCGGGTGCTGAGGGAACTGGCGGAAGTAATTGCTAGACCACTCGCCATCATCTTTACCAAGTCTTGGGAAACGGGAGAGGAGCCTGAGGACTGGAGGAAGGCGAATGTCACTCCAGGCTTCAAAAAGGGCAAGAAGGAGGACCCAGGTAACTATAGACCGGTCAGCCTCACCTCCATCCCTGGGAAAGTGATGGAACACCTTATCCTTGGTGCTATCTTAAGGCATATCAAGGATAAGAGGGTTATGAGGGGCAGTCAACATGGCTTCACCAAGGGGAAGTCATGCTTGACCAATCTCATAGCCTTTTATGAGGAAATAACACGGTGGATGGATGATGGCAGAGTGGTGGATGTGGTCTACCTTGACTTCAGCAAAGCATTTGACACAGTCTCCCACAGCATCCTCACGGCTAAATTGAGGAAGTGTGGACTGGATGATCAGGTAGTGATGTGGACTGTGAACTGGCTGAAGGAGAGAAGCCAGAGGGTTGTAGTCTATGGGGCAGAGTCTAGTTGGAGGCCTGTAACTAGTGGAGTGCCTCAAGGGTCAGTACTGGGACCGGTATTATTTAATATATTCATCAACGATTTAGATGAGGGAATTGAGTGTACTATCAGCAAGTTTGCTGATGACACTAAGCTGGGAGGAGTGGCTGACACGCCAGAAGGCTGTGCTGCCATCCAGCGAGACCTGGACAGGCTGGAGAGTTGGGCAGGGAATAACTGGATGAAATATAACAAGGGAAAGTGTAGAGTCCTGCATCTGGGCAGGAACAACCCCAGGTTCCAGTATAGGTTGGGGAACGACCTGTTAGAGAGCAGTGTAGGGGAGAGGGACCTTGGGGTCCTAGTGGACAACAGGATGACCATGAGCCAACACTGTGCCCTTGTGGCCAAGAAGGCCAATGGCATCCTGGGGTGTATCAGAAGGGGGGTGGTTAGTAGGTCGAGAGAGGTCCTCCTTCCCCTCTACTCTGCCCTGGTGAGACCGCATCTGGAATATTGTGTCCAGTTCTGGGCCCCTCAGTTCAAGAAGGACAGGGAGCTGCTGGAGAGAGTCCAGCGCAGGGCAACTAAGATGATTAAGGGAGTGGAGCATCTCCCTTATGAGGAAAGACTGAGGGAGCCGGGTCTCTATAGTTTGGAGGAGACTGAGGGGTGACCATATTAGTGTCTATAAATATATAAAGGGGGAGTGTCACGAGGATGGAGCCAGGCTCTACTCAGTGGTAAACAATGACAGGACAAGGGGTAATGGGTACAAACTGGAACACAAGAGGTTCCACTTAAACTTGAGAAGAAACTTCTCAGTGAGGGTGACGGAACACTGGAACAGGCTGCCCAGGGAGGTTGTGGAGTCTCCTTCCCTGGAGACATTCAAAACCCTCCTGGACACATTCCTGTGTAACCTTATCTAGGTGTTCCTGCTCCGGCAGGGGGATTGGACTAGATGATCTTTTGAGGTCCCTTCCAATCTCTAGCATACTGTGACTCCTGTCAAACCACTTCACTGTTTAATTATAGTTACACTTTTACAAATAGAATCCCTATTTGATTATAGTAATCTCTGTGACTCCTGATATTCTTAACTTTCCTGATCATTTTCAGCAGTAAGTGCAGCTAATCCTCTTCTACGTTGAGTGTAACTCTCTCCCCCAGCTATCATGGAAGTTTCAGTCATTACTCCCATTTTTCACACTAAACAGACTGCACTTTAATTTTCTGTATCTGTTATTTCTCCTAGATACTGAACACAACTAGGAAAATGTCAGTGGTATGCATAACTTGTGCAAAGGTAGCAAGACTCTTCCACTCATGCTGAACTCTGCACCACCCAGACAGATTTTGACTAGTCTCCGTCAGCTGCTGTTCTGTTAATGTTGCCCCAGAAGACCCTGTCAGGACCTAGCTGAGTCTCTTTTAACCCACTTACTGTATCACCATATTTGTTCTTAAATCATACATTAGTGTCAGTCTGAGTACGCAGGCATCTGTATCCATAATATAAAACTATGTATAAACTTCCTTGTGTACCTCTTGAAAGTGAGACTGCATGGAGTGCAAGAAATGAAACTTAATCTTATGCCTAAATAGAGGAGAATGGTCAGTTTCATAAAGACTGCCACAGCAGTCAGACTGAGCTGCTGCCTACAAGTTCTCATCACAGCAATCAGATGGAAATAGCTGTCTTCTCTTTTAGAGAAAATACACTGCTTCTGCATAAAATACTTTTCTGTTCTCCATAAAATCAATATGGGTTATACATCTAGTAAAATTAAAAAAATGTGTTACATGCCAGGGTATTTCGTTTTGCTAACAAAGCACTTGTCAACTCAGTTTAAATTTTTTTGAGAGCAGACAAGATCTTTACCATCTGTACCCTAAGATTCTACTCATACTCCACTTTTTTGAAAAAATTTTATACTAATATCACATTAACACAACATACATTTTACTGATATAGAAACAGCATTAGCATAAATTACTGCAGCCTTCCTCCAGTAAAGGAACATGTGCAACAACAAATACATCTTTCACTGTCTTGAATTAAACTTCTTTTAGGGCTGCATTTCTAAACAAATGGGCCAATGTGGTCCAGAAAATAAAGTCCTATCCACTGCTATTTCTTCAAAAGATGAAGAGGTCATTGCTTAATGATTTTTTTATTTTTTTTTTAATTTGGAAGTGTAAACAAGTATCTGCAAACTAGAAAAGCATTTTTCATATTGTCAACTCACACTTCTTCAAAATACTTAAAAGTTTTCTTAGCTTTTATCCATTGTGTCCAAGACCTTCAGGATTTAAGTAATGCCTCTACTACCTGGAATTTTACAACACGCAATAAGGTTTTCTATAAATAGCACTTTCAAAATTCTTAAGAAACCAAAATATTTTTATGTAATTGTTGTTTCAGTTAAATGTCTCCTATCATCGTAGAACATTTTGGAATTACCTATCTCTACATCCAACAAAGATTCCATTCTTATGGCTGAGAAGACTTTCTTGGTGCATCTAACTCTAACAAAGCAGCACTTAAAAAATATATAAAACTAATCAAAACAGATTTGTATTACTACAATAGGTGTACCTTCTCTGCCTGAATGTAAGTGATCACTGCACAAGAAAAGCATGTAAATGAAGAAATTACCTGAGAACCAGCAGCTGACCAGTTCACCACCTTCTCAATCTAAATACATGATGTTCCATAGATCTTTGTCTTTTGTATGGATAAAAATTACCATTTATGTTTTATGAATTACCAGCTACAAAACGTTCCATGTAGGTTTGGATGATTAGAAACTGCCAGAACCAAGCTACACATAAAATATCTTTTATACATCTTTCTAATGATTTTATGTTCTCTTCGCAGGTATTTTTTTTTAAAGTAAGATTTTATGATCAAAAAGAAAACATTTTTCTCATATACTTTAAGATACATTTATATCACATCTATACGTGTAACATTAAATCTCCTGTCTCTCTATTAAGAGGTGTTTGATCAAAAATCTAGCATTATAGAGAAAGGTTAACAGAAGCTACATATTTAGGAATCACCTTTAACACAATCTTACCTCCAACTGGGCATACTGAGTTAATACTAGAGAAATGGCTCTGATTCAAAAAAGCAATTAAGTGCATGTTTCATACAAAACATGTCAGGCATTCCCAAAGGACAACTGAACCAAACAAATTGATTTCAAAGAAGCCTTACAGTAGTTCCTTCAAATTATCTTTGTGTTCCCAACTCATTAAACTTCTCATAATGAATCATTACAATCATCTTCTGTTTTATTCAAATAAGCCTTATGTACTTTATAGTCTTTTCCTTTAAAATAATGTGTTACTGTGATTTCTTTACATCACAGATCTCACATATTTCAAGACATTTTTAGCTTAAAAAAAAGAAAAAATTCTACTTAGTTTTTCAGTAAAGCTTATTGTTGTGAAGTAACTGTACTACATCTGTTTTGTTTAGGCAGCTGAAACAAACAGATAAATGAAATAATCTTTCATAATAATTTTTACTTGCCATGACTTGGGCTCCCCGAAATGGAGGTAATTAATACTGTAGAGATCCATGTCTTCTGTGTGCCATGCAAATGTTGTTTTCCACATACCAAAATAAAGATATGGCGTATTTACACCTTCAATAGAAATTCCACATTCTTCTTTGACAACATCCAATATTGTGTTAAGATGGGCAATATTCCATTCCTCAATACCCTGAAAAAGGTAAATAATAAACATATTAATACATCAATAAGTAATGCAATTCTTCACTGAGACTCTTGTATATAGATGAACACCTGAACTAGCTCTTAAAAAGACTGTATATTAATACAAATGTGTAAGCATGTTAAAAGACAGCTGAAGTTACCAGAAAAGATTTCTCTTGACCTTAATAAGATTTACAGCAAGTTCTAACAGATGTTCAGAGCAGAGAGCATAAAGAGTTCATATCTGCTTAACACTTAATAGAGATCAAACCTAACATTGATTGAAACAGCATACACAATAGAAGTAATAGCTGCAGACAAAAAACTTTGAGTTGACAGCTGGAAGCCACTAAGTTCTACTGGTCCTATCCTATGCTTTTTAATTACTTACAGAATAATACTAAATAGCATGAAAAATTGTTTTATAATTTACATGCATAAATTTACCATTTCTCGGAAAGCATAGAAACTAAAACCATTATATCACTTCAGAGGTATTTCTAACCATAATTACATACTGCAGAAGAAATAAACCACAGAAGAAACCTACTTATTTCATGGGATTTCAGCTTTTTCTTACATTATTGCCCATAAAATTTGTACATTAAAAGCCATTCAGAAAGCCATAGGTGTAGATTTTCTTGTATTTCATATTCATCCACAGAGTGCAATTCTAATTTCAGGTAATACAGCACGTAAGAGTCAATATAACAAAGATCAAAGCTACAAAACTGAGGAGAAAAAGATTAGACTTCATTACAACAACAATTATTAGTACCTCCAGGGAAGACATTAGCTGGTGCCTCAACAGTCAGAAAAAAAAAGAAATATTATCTGAACTGTTACAAAATAAATGCAGGGAAGTTTCTTTATCAGGAAGACAGCCCTTAAACATGTCCTTAATTGTAAACTGCTCCACACCCCCATCACTGGACTCTCTACAGTTCTGGGAATCTTACTCAACTTTGAGAACAAATAGATGGCAGACTGCAATCCTGATGCAGCTGATTAAGAGACACCTTGACATTCAGTAGTTGGGCCAGTAGTGAAGTAAAAATATAGGTTAAAGCAAGAAGTAATGACCATTTATTACTCACAGTTTTCATTTTCCTTGGTTTTGATTTTCATGTATGCAGCAACTATAATCGATACACAAAATCATAACTTCTGTATGAATCCTGCCTGACCAATTTGGCAGCCTTCTATGATGGGGCTACAGAACTGACGGACAGGGGTAGAGCAGTTGATGTCATCTACCTGGACTTGTGTAAAGCGTTCAACACTGTCCCACACGACATCCTTGTCTCTAAATTGGAGAGACATCAATTTGATGGATGGACCATTCAGTGGATAAAGAACTGGCTGGATGGCCGCACACAACGAGTTTTGGTCAATGGCTCAATGTCCGGCTGGAGACCAGTAACGAGTGGTGTCCCTCAGAGATCAGTGTTGGGACCGGTCTTGTTTAACATCTTCGTCGCTGACATGGACAGTGGGATTGAGTGCGCCCTCAGCAAGTTTGCCGAGGACACCAAGCTGTGTGGTTCGGTTGATACCCTAGAGGGAAGGAATGCCATCCAGAGGGACCTTGACATGCTTGTGAGGTGGGCTGATGCCAACCTCATGAAGTTTAACCATGCCAAGTGCAAGGTCCTGCACCTGGGTCAGAGCAATCCCAGGCAGAGCTACAGGTTGGGCAGAGAAGAGAGTCAGAGCAGCCCTGCAGAGAAAGACCTGGGGGTGTTGGTTGATGAGAAAATGTACATGAGCTGGCATTGTGCGCCTGCAGCCAAGAAAGCCAACCATATCCTGGGCTGTAACAAAAGGAGCGTGGCCAGCAGGTTGAAGGAGGTGATCCTGCCCCTCTACTCTGCTCTCGTGAGACCTCACCTGGAGTATTGTGTGCAGTTCTGGTGTCCTCAGCATAAATAGGACATGGAACTGTCGGAACAAGTCCAGAGAAGGGCCACGAGGATGATCAGGGGACTGGAGCACTTCCTGTATGAAGACAGGCTGAGAAAGTTGGGGCTGTTCAGCCTGGAGAAGAGAAGGCTTCATGGAGACCTCATAGCAGCCTTCCAGTATCTGAAGGGGGCCTATAGGGATGCTGGGGAGGGACTCTTCATTAGAGACTGTAGTGACAGGACAAGGGGTAATGTGTTAAAACTTAAACAGGGGAAGTTTAGATTGGATATAAGGAGGAAATTCCTTCCTGTTAGGGTGGTGAGGTTGCCCAGGGAGGTTGTGAATGCTCCATCCCTGGCAGTGTTCAGGACCAGCTTGCATGAGGCCTTGGGTGATATGGTTTAGTGTGAGATGTCCCTGTCCATGGCAGGGGGGTTGGAACTAGCTGATCTTAAGGTCCTTTCCTACCCTAACCACTCTATGATTCTAAATTCAACCTTCTCAATGAACATGCACTTCTGACTGCCTGCTATGGTTATTTCACATGCTAAGAAAAACCATCTGTAAATTATCTGTGACTTTTAGAAAGGAGTGAATGAGTTTTACAGAATTAGTTTATTCCTAACAGCAATTTTTGTTCTTTTTTTAAAATTGAAGAAATTTAATATGATGATCTTTATCACAGAAAAAGACCTAAACACTGAAATGAACTCAAGTAATAGATGCTGGTAAAATTTACACCTTTCAAATCTAAAAATCCTAATCATCAGCAAGGGAGACCTATAAAATACAGAATTTGAATACCCAATTTTAACTAATTATTCCTCAAATTAATTTGCAGATTTTATTTTTTTAAATCACATAACATTTATCTTTGCACACAAATAGTGCAGTCAATTTGGAGAAACAAATGAATACAGCAAAATAGAAGGAATTATTCAACCCTGTAGGCACAGATGCACATTCAGTGTTAGACGACAACAATACAACAGATTCAAATTAATTGTTAATCTAGGCAGCACACTCTTGGACAGTGAGTAAGCACACAAACAGTATAAACAGAGCAACACTCCCCCAGAATACCCTTCCAGCATGCAGCAATTTACAGACTGAAGGTTTCTCCAGACAGAGGTGTTACCCTTCTGCTTTACGTACCCTGGGGGCTTTTTTTCCAATTTATTCATCCAGTCACCTCCTTTAATCCATGTGAATTTTTAGCAACTGTAACATCCTGAAATTTTACTCTTCTCTTACTAAAAATTGACAATTTTTTTTTTTTTTTTAAACACCACATCTCACCTTTTCACATTCTGAGTCAAGTCACAACTAGTCACCAAGCAAGCTGCCACTGGTTTTTCCCCGAACCAAAAGTAAATTCTCCCATGCAGAACAATCCTAGGAGAAAATGGCTTTACAGTACTAAACATAACAAATACACAAACCACAACCTCTACACTCTAGATGCATAACCTATTTCCATTTCCTAGAGGCTATTTTGGACAAGTAGTCTTAGCTCAAAAGGAAATATTCTATGAAACATACTGAAATGCCAAAATCAGACTGATTCATTTCCTACAATCCCTGAGCGTAAAAAAAAAAAAAAACCACACACACAAACAAAACCAATTAGTTTTATATTTATGCCTAAACTGTTAAAAGTAATTATTACAAATCAGTACTAAAGCTGTTACTTTCTCTCACAAGCATATGGGGTTTTAATATTGCAAAACATTAAGTAAAATTCTTACATGAATTGTAAACTAAAATAGTAATTCTAACTTTTCCAATAGCTATACAACTGTTTTTAAACTTTACAGTTACAATGCACACTGAAAAGATCACAGGAACTGTAAAAGAGCAGTTTAATAGGTCAATATATAACAATACTTTCCAGAATGCAAGTACATCTTAGCAGAATATGTTATATTTAATAACCATTATTACAACATCAGTACAAATATTACTTGACCATGATGTGTAGCTGGTAGCTTCTCACAAAAAGCCATTTAGACATTATAATCTCTTCAATGTTATAAAAATACAAAATATTTATACTGCTCAGAATATCAGAATAATATCAGAATACTGTAATAACTTCAAGGGAAAGCGTAAAGAAAGTATTTCTAGTATATCCACATTTTTCATGGCAAATTCTTCAAAGAATACCTGTCATCTTTGTACCACACAATCCTTCAACAGGAAAAAAAGCTGGAAAATAATATTTTTCTTTCTTCACCCGAACAGAGGAATACAAGCTTGAAACATCTTACCATCTACAGTCATTGCTATGCAAATGAGACTTACCTTGTATTTCTTCAGAGAAACATTGTAGTTTATAAAGAAAACCATTATTCAAATCTTCACTAATACTGCAGGTGACTCAAACTTACCGTAAATTACCATCAATACTTTTTTTAACTTTGAACAAGCTTTTAATGCAATGTGAAGATAAAATGAGACACTTCACAAGCCACGATCAAATATCTGAACATGTGCACAGTTTAGAAGCTGACCCATTCTTCTCATAAAGACACAAAAGAAAAATGTAGCCTTCAGTATACCAGTAAAAAGTAAAGCTCAAGGTTTAAGCAGGGACCTCTTTGCAGATAAGAATAAAATAGGCTCTAAATTAAATTATTTTTTATTCATTTCCTTTTACTAAAATACTTACAATATTGACACAATACTATCCCTTGCACTTTACAAATAGGCCAACAGTGGAGTGTATTCTATATTTATAATGATTTATGTATGTATTCATTAGTATACACAATACTTTTTCAGTGTTTAATTTTTTCTGTGATTATCTCATGGACACATTTCAATATTAACCTGGCAAACAACACATCTGTTCTACAACTAGGATCAAAAAGTCCCTAGGGCTGACTGTAACAACTCAAATAATAAAGAGGAGTAAAAAAACTAATCAAGAGATTGTGAAAAGGAGTAGGAGAAACATAGAAAGTTGTGCTTGGTCACCCACTCCTCTCTACACACCAATGAATATAATAAAAACATTTTCAGGTTTTTATTACATCCTCAAAGTGCATAAAACACAGACAGTAAAATGCTATAAACAAAACCTCTGCACCATAAACACAC